CATGACTGCCCTGCAGATCTTGCTCAAGAAGTAGATTCTCCAAGGCAATTTCTCCTTCAAAAACTGCTGAACATTAACACACTTTCGCAGATGAACTTGTTTAAGGTTTTAATTTGGGGATTGGTTACCTGGGGACCATATTGGAAACATTTTCTTCTGTCTCAGAATTTGTCTGACTCTCTCCAGGAGCTGAGAATCCTTTAAAAATCACAGAGGCATATAGGCTTCCACTTTAACTTTCACCGAAATAACCTGGTTTGTAAGGCATGGCCCCTAGAAGCTGGCATTTCTTCTTAGGTCCTAGCTCTCCCCTTCCCTTCAAACACCTGTCATCAGATAGAAAATGGGGGCAGAAAGATTCAACTAAACAGCCTTTGAAGGACCTACTGTTCTGGGTATGGAGCGCTTCTATTCATAATCACCCTCCGTGAGAGTGATCAAAATATGTGATAAAGCATATGGCTCAGGGATTTGAGAGTTTTCCCCCTACAGAAGCACAACTCTTTATGTTTTCTGTTTAGTTGTTCCTATGTTTAAAATAACCTTAATTAAATAAATACTTTTATAATTAAAATGTAATTCTAATTAACGCAGAATTTTTAAAAAGGTAGCCCCTAGGAATAAATCAATGGCTTTACTTCCACCTTTACTTATTAATTGTCATTAATTCTTTATTAGTTTAGTACTTGGAGATGTTTGTATGTAGTCCTTGGGCATGTTTGTGGTTGGAGCTTGTATCTGAAACATATACACCTAAACATGCACACACATAGTTTTTTGTTGTTTTGTTTTAACTTCTCATAAGAATGAAGTATCATAACTATTTTAATTCAAATAATGAGCCTTCTCAGCTACCACAGACCTTATATGTATTTTTCCTTTTAATAGGGACCTGGACTGTCTTTTCTTGTCTGTTTTTCTTTTTTCAGTTTTAAAAATTATTATTATAATACCAGAGGCCGCTTTGTCTTCTTAGCTGTAACACAACCCCCCCAAAACCAAGTTATCAGGTATATATCTGGTATCACCCTTGGCGTGCTCTACCAGTGAAACTGAAATTTACCTAAGCAGCAAAGACATCTCCATGGTTACTCAGCCAGGACATGGCCCTTTTGGCTTTAGACTGCTTTAGCAATGCATGAAAGGTCTCCAGTGTTGCTAACTAGATCATTTTTCAGGTTCTAGCTGTAGGTGCCCTTCCTTTTTTTAGCATTTTGGAATATAACAGCTGAACACTGTTTCATATATAGACTGAGATTTGGCCTCTTTCCAGTCACTCTGAGCTCATCTGACAGTGGTTATTGACAAAAGTACAGAACCAATCCCTGAAAAGGCAACTTACTGCTAAATATATCCAGAGTCAATATTACAGTGCTTTCTGGCCCACACTGGTAAATTCATGGGTTTCAAAGAGAAAGGAACTGTTTGAGGTTATGTAGTTACTTAACTTCACTTTACAGATGAAGAAAAGTGAAAGAATCAGGGCTATTTAGCTTCAAACATTTTCATTAATAACATTCATTCATTCAGCAGATAGCTTTTGAGTCCCCACCCTGTGTGGGTCCTGGAGTTATTAAATATAAACACAGTCCCAGCACTTACCGTCTCCACAGTTCATTGGAATAAGAAGACTGACAAACAGTTAACACATCAAGTGACACCTTGTATCATCAAGGCACATTCAGAGCTCTTGAAGCCACACCCTTGGTTGTAGATGAAGAGTCCATGTAAGAGTTTCATTGTACGGAATGAGCCTTTACCAGGCAGTCTAGCGAGAGAAGGCCTCAGGGCAGAGGAAACAAGTCAGGAAAGAGCAGTTGCCTTGGAAAACGCTGAGTGTGTTAGCCTGGCTGCACAGGTGAGTGGGGAGGAGTAGCTGAGTCCCCACCGTGGGGCAGTATTACTGGGGACAGCTCATGCCCACCTGGACGTTCGTTCAGGACAAAAGGGAGGGCTCTGTGAGTTGTGAAAATGTAGAAATAGTTCCAGGCTGGCTGATAAATAGCCAGCGATCTAAGGCCTCTTGCACTGTCTTGTTGCCCCCCCAGACCTCCTCACACCCAGGGATTCAGGGATTCAAAAGTTGACACCCAGCAGGAACCCTCTAGGCCAGTTAGATGGTGCTGATCATTCATTTTTTTGAGCATCTCTCCTCTCCTGTCATTTGCCTTAGTAAAGAATGTAAACTTCATCCTATAGGGTAGGATTTGAAAATTCAAATGCCTCCATAGGTAGGGAGGCTCCAGAGAAATGAGCAAAGCAAGTGTGTGTAAAGAACAGGGAAAGTTGAGGACTGTAATGAGTTTGAGGTATTAAAATGAACTTTTAAAGAAGTCCGTGTCCACAACCATAAACAAATGTTTGCCAGTGCTCAAATTTCACAGTATAAGGAACAGGGAACCACATTTTTTTTTTTAAACTGGAGAAGTGATACAAGGTTTATTTACTTTTTAAAATTGCCATGATGTTTTGATGGACAGAGATTTACAGAAGACATGGAGATAAGAGACTTGAGAGCATGGCTCTTCCTAGTTCAAATATTGGACTAGAAAATGCTGGCTTAAATGCAAAGATCTTGGGTTGCATATGAAAAACAAAGTATTTTGTTTCCTTTACGATAAAACAATAGAAGGGATTATTGGATTGTAGGGAAGATATGTTATTTCTGCCTTTAAAAGTTTCAGGTGCGTAAAGCACAATGGGAGAAGCTAAACGCAGTGATTTTTGAGAACTTTCTGAGTCGGGGATGCTCTGACGCGTATTAACTCAAGCAAAATATTTGTGGAGAAAAAACAAACGAAAAGCCGTGGGTGGTGAAATGGGGTGGAACAAATGCCGAAAGAACTCTTGAATGTTACCAAGCAGGGGATTTGTGTGGGAACATGAAGATGTTTCCGACAATTCCGTGTTGGTTTTTATTCATCAATTTAACACATTCGAGTACATACCATATGCTAGACACTGTCCCAGGCACAATTTTAAGTAGGATTTGCTAATTCATTTATTGCGAATTTACTCTCTCTGCCCTCCACGGAACTTTTCGTTCTAGGGCAGGAGACGGTCAGTCAGCCTGGTACCGGGACAGGTTGGTGGTGAGCAAACCTGGAGGGTGGATTGAGGCCGGGGAAGACCAGAGGCCGAAACCAACTAGGGAACAGTGACCACTGTACAAAACATAACGGAAGACAGGTTTCACGGGCCCCAAACTAGCAGAAGTCGGAGTGGAATGGGGAAGCGTCCAGGAGGGACATTCGAAGCCCCTAGAATGTTGTGAGTTTTAGAGTGTGGAAAGTTGCGGCTGCAAAAATGATGTGCTAGGTTTTGATGAGCTGAATTTAACAGTTTGATGGACACCATGTGTAGATATTTTCTGAGATCGGCCTTTCTGAAACTTTGGTGGTGTCAGAATCACATGGGGAACAAAAGAAATACAAAGGTCCAGGGCCTAGTCCTTCAGCCAGCCTGGGCCTCTGTGTTTTTTATTAGCTCCCCTGGTGGCACTGACACGGCAAAGTTTGAGAACCACCGACTTAGATAACCACAGATACAAGCCTGGAAAGAGGGAGGAGCTAAGGGCTGGAGATGTATATTTTGGAGTTTTTTTAAAGAGTGTTCATTGAGACTTATGGATGGACCAGCTCTCCCAGCTGATGCAGATAAAGGGAGAGGAGAAACCAGAGGACAGTGAGTGGCTGCGTGGGTGCCGCGGGTGGGGAGGCGAGGAGGAGCCTGTAAGGCGGACACACGGATTGTTCAGCGTGAGGGCAAAGTGCAGAGAGCNCGAGGGTGGGGAGGCAAGGAGGAGCCTGTAAGGCGGACACACGGATTGTTCAGCGTGAGGGCAAAGTGCAGAGAGCTCAGTTTCCCCTTAACTGGAATGTGGGCTCCATGGGGACAGACCTCGGGGTTACCTTCACCTGGCATTGTGCCCAGCACTCAATAGGCACTTAATCAATATTTATTGACTAAATCAATGCATGCATGCATGGTTTTCACAAGGCTAAAGAGAAAATTTTAGGACAATATAGGCAATCATATTAAATGCAGTAGCCTGAGGCCAAGAGGGCTCAAACTTACTGCTGGTAGATTTGGCCAGAAGGAAGCTATTGCTATAAGAGAGACGGGGTAATTAAGTATAAGCAGCGAATTTAGGCTCTGCTGTCATTTATAACACTCATCCTGAGCAGTTGATGAGCAGTTAAAGGCCATATATATATATATATATATAAAAGTACAGATATTAAGCTCTCCAGCCTTCATTGTGCCCTGTTGCTCTGTTGATGTCCCCCAGCTGCCTCCCTGAGGTTGTGCGTCTGATAGGAAGAAGTGGCTCCCAGGAGTCTCATAGGTTGGGGAGGGGTCTCTTGGGGAGCTGGAGGTTGGAATATAGACAAAGACAACCAAATGCTAGGGACATGTCTTCAGTAAGCTGCAAAATCCACTTTCCATCCTCAGTTTTTCAGTGATGGTTTGCTCCCCAAGAATAGATATAATTTCTACAAATTGCATAAAAATATAAAATCCTACTTTTAGATTTGTTAAAAGCTTTTCAATGCCAGGCACACATTTCCTTTGAAAGGATAAATCTTTGTGTCATGAGCAGAGATGCTTATTAACCTGCTCTCTGGGATCTGCGTGTTCGTAGATGAAGCATCCAGCCTTTCTTGTATTTTCAAATGTCATATCCAACTGCCTTTTAATGAAGATTCATCTGTTCTTTTCACACTGTTAGGTATGGTCTGTGGGGATAGACGTTTTTCAGTCCACGTGAATAGAGCCCATTACTGGTAATGGAAGTTTCGCACGTGCCTGTGGAGGCGAATATGCGTTGAAATAATTTACGTTTAAACTTTCACAGTCACTTTTATTTCGCTGCCTTACGATTTCAACGATGATCTCTTTTTGTCCCCAATTGCTGTTTGACATTGATGGTAGGCGTTTGGTGATGGGTCCAAAGTTGTAACCTGAACGGGTGTAAGTATTTCTTTCCTCTGTTTCAGCTGAGAAGTTTTGAGAGTGAAATATTCACAGCCATTAAGAGACCTCCAGTTTAATGTCTCATCATGGTCATTCTGTAGTTCATATTAAGTCCACAGCACTGAAGGAAGTCAACAAGTGGACTTTCAGACTTCAGATCTCTGGCCATGGTGTTGGCCATGGCGTCTCAGGATGCTCACAACTTCTTCCAGCCTCTCTCTTCCTGGATATCTCGGGTATATGAAGCTCTCCAGCAAGCAGGAGATGTGTTATCTGCCTCGTTGGTTAACTTAAGCAAGCAAGACTCTAAATTGAATGACAAGCTAGACCAGGACTTAGATGACATTCAGATTCAGGAAACTGACTTTGAGGATGAAGCACAAAGCAATGATGGGAGTCAAGAGGACACGAACTCCTTGTTTCTTGAAGTGGATCATTTTTCTTGTTGTAATAGTGATTTGCAGGACTCTGCCCAAAAGTCAAGCTCTAGACTTAGCCAACATGCAAAGGACTCATGTTCCATTATATCCAAATGGCCCAATCAGACCCGTGATGACCAAAAGCCACCACATGTGCTTTCTTCTATTGCTGAGGAAGAACATTACCTTGAAAAGCAAAGGAGTGACCTTCAACATGGCTTTGAGAGCCAGCACTCTGGTACTTTAGAAAATGTTTATGGAAAAAAGCAAGGTAAGCTAGCCAGTAATCATTTTCTCTGGGTTCTGCCAAAGGACATTTCTGCTCATTTTATTTTGACTTGCTTTAGATGTCATATGACTTTTATTTTTCTCCCTCTTATACCTTTCCATATGCTGGCTTTTTATTGAGAGTTGTAATCCTTAGGAATATTTTCAACATATAAAATTTTGAAGTATCCGTATTTGTGGGATTCATATTCCAAAACAAAAGTTGCAAGCAAGTGAAATGTTGAAAATGAGTCTGTGGGTTCTGTTTGAGAGGCCCCTTATGCATGTCATGCTTTTTAAAATATCTTTTAAGCTGTTCTCTTTTTCCCACTAGGTTAGGAATCTCTAGATGTTACTATATTATTCAGTGTGAAATCCTGTGCAAAAAGCCATACTTGTTGCAAAATTTTTAGTTGATAACACTCCAAGAACACTTCTCACAGTATTTCACTGAGACGTGATGTGAGATGACAGTAGATAGAAAATCTTTGAAATAAGAATAGCTTGATTTTCTTTTAGCCTTGAATGGAAAGGATATATTTAAAACAAACTGCCTATAAAGCTTTATCCTGTCAGAACTGAGCATATAATGGGCCTTCAATAAATGTAAAATGCATGCGGTGAGGCTGTAATTAACTCTGTAAAGGCAGCTATAGTATGTTCTGGATCTTTTTCACACTTCCAGTACTCCAAGCTGGAAGTAAGGACATCCGCCTGGCTAGGGACGGAGAGGTACGTGCTCTGCAGAGAAAGGCGCTGGGTGTGTATGCAGGATGTGTGGTAATACATAGCTCACGCGGACTATTGGATCTTTTATGTAATACAAAGGTGAAGTAAATATCTTATTAGGGGAAGCAGGCATTTCTGGAATATTTCATAATTTCTTCATCTATTTTCATGATGCCTCTTACTTTTATCTTTTTATCTATCGTTGACAGTATTGCAGATGTCCTCCATTACCTCCCCCCTTTGCCCACTTCTACCCAGCCCCCACCCCACCCCAGGCCTTGCCCGCACTATTATCTGTGTCCATGGGTTATGCACATATGCATACATGTTCTTTGGTTAATCTCTTTCCATCCCCTCCACTCCCCACCTCTCTGAGACCCCTCAATCTGCTTCCATGTCTCTGGACCTATTTTGTCTGTCAGTTTATTTTGTTCACTAGATTCCACATATAAGTGAGATCATGTGATGTTTGTCTTTCTCTGCCTGGCTTATTTCCCTTAGCATAATACTCTCCAGGTCCATCCATACTGTCCCAAAGGGTAAGAGATCCTTCTTTACAGCTGCGTAGTATTCCATGGTGTGAATGTCCCACAACTTATTATCCACTCACCTACTGATGGGCACTTGGGCTGTTTCTAGATCTTAGCTATTGTAAATTGCACTGCTGTGAACATAGGGGTGCAGATATTCTTTCTGATTGGTGTTTCAGGTTTCTTAGGATATATGCCCAGAAGTGGGACCACTGGATGAAATGGAAGTTCAATTTTTAATTTTTTGAAGAAACACCATACTCTTTTCCACAGTGTCTGCACCAGTCTGTATTCCCACCAGCAGTGCACTAGGGTTCCCTTTTCTCCACAGCCATTTGGCAGGTGTGAGGTGACACCTCATTGTTTTTTTTAAATTAATTTATTTTTTTAAATTTTATTTCTGTTTAAAAATATTACAGATGTCCCTTTTTCTCCCCAATGACCCGTTCCACTGTGTCCCATTCCCCTCCCCAGCCCCTCTCCCCACCATTGTTCGTGTCCTTGGGTTGTGCATATATGCATATAAATTCTTTGGTTACTCTCTCCTCCTCCACCCACCTGCCCTCCTCCATCCCTGACATTTGTCAGACTCATCTATGCTTCCATGTCATTGAATCTATTCTGTTCATCAGTTTATTAAGTTCTTTAGATTCCATGTATAAGCGAGATCATGTGATGTTTGTCTTTCTCTGCCTGGCTTATTTCACTTAGCATAATATTCTCCAGGTCCATCCATACTGTCCCAAAGGGTAAGAGATCCTTCTTCTTTACAGCTGCATAGTATTCCACGGTGTGAATGTCCCACAGCTTTTTTATCCACTCACCTACTGATGGGCACTTGAGCTGTTTCCAGATCTTAGCTATTGTAAACTGTGCTGCTATGAACATCAGCTTCTGCACAGCAGAAAAAAACAGCCTCAAAATACAAAGGAACCCCACGGTCTGGGAAAACATATTTGCCAAGGATGTATCATTGTGGTTTTAATTTGCATTTCTCTGGCGATTAGCGATGTTGAGCATTTTTTCATGTCTCTTGGCCATCTGTATGTCCTCTTTGGAGAAGTGTCTATTTGGGTCCTTTGCTCATTTTTTAATTGGATTGTTTGTCTTTCTGGTGTTGAGTTGTATGAGTTCTTTGTATATTTGGAAATTAACCCCTTATCAGATGTATCATTGGCGAATATGTGCACTACCAGACATCAAACTATACTATATGGCTTTATCTTGTTTAAGGAAATGTTTTATTAGGATATATTAAGTTTTGGAAAATGAGGAGACATTTTCATGTCCTTTTTACACTTCCTTGATATTCTTACTCAAGTTAAAGTAATATTAAATGCTAGAATAAACTGGTGAAAACAAGGTAGGCTGGTATTCTTTCTGAATCTGATCAACGATAAGTAAGTACAATTTCAAGTGTTTAAAAATTATCTATAGAGATAATTCTGGAAATATCTGGGCTACCAGCAGGATTTCTTAGAACTGACTTGAAAAATTGATTCCTCTTTTAGAAAACTCAAGTTGAACTATATTTAAAAATTTTAACATAAATTTGACTCAATAGATGCTTAACAATTCTTTTGCCAATTTCTGTAATCATTGTAATAATCCAAAGGCATTGTAATAGTCTAAAAACAATTGTTTTCATTTGTCCATTCAGGAGATGCATATTCACTAGATTGTGGCCTCCGGGAAGGCAGGGGCCATGTCATAGACTCATTTCTGTATCCTTAACATCAAGCACAATGTTACGTATATAATAGGACATCAAATAATAATTCATGTTGGAACAGCAGCAGGATGTAAATACCGTTATTCTCACTTCACAGTTGAGAAAATCGATGCTTGGAGAGTTTGAGCATATACCCAAGATCCACATTAAGAAAGAGGCGGCGCTCAGGAAGTCCGATTCTAGAGCTTACACATACACGCTCCCTTTTTTCCTTTTAAAGGTATAATTTACAGAGAGTAAAATTCACCCTTTTTAGCGCAGGACCTGTGAGTTTTGACAAACGCGCATAGTCTTGTAACCACTGCCACAATCAAGGTACAAAACAGTTCTACCGCCTCAGAAAAATTCCCCCAAGTCCCTTTGCAGTGAATCCTTTCCCCTACCTTCAGCCCTGGCAATCGCTGGCAGTTTCGGTCTCTGTCGTTCGCCTTTCCCAGAATGTCACAGAAATGGAGTCGTGCGGTTCGCTGCCTTTGGAACCTGGCCGCCTTGCGCCGCACCCGCCCTGGCGACCGGAGGGCCGTCGGCCGCGTCCCAGCAGCTTGCTCGCTTCCTGGGGGGAGCGTCCCTTGCGCGGACGCCCCGCTGGGCTGCTTTATGGGTTAGTTGAGGGGTGTTTGGGTTGTTTTCAGTTTTTAGCAATATGAGTAAAGCTGCTACCGCCCCATCTGCAAAACAAGTTTTTGTGCGAATGTAAGTTTTTATTTCAATTAGGTAAATAGCTAGAAGTGGGATTGCTGGGTCATGTGGGAAGTGTATGTTTAACTTTATAAAAGAAACGTCACTGTTTTCCAAAGTACCGTTTTGCGTTCTCAGAGTGATCTATGAGGTTTCCAGCCGCTCATATCCTCACCAGCACTTGATGGTGTTATTTAAAAAATGTAAAGCCATTCTTATGGGTGTATCGTGGTAGCTTACGTTAGGAGGTAATTCTTCATTGGTCTCCTGCATTTTTGCATGTCCTGAGAGCACAGTCACAAACATCTTTTATTTTGGGTTGTCTTTTCAAGGACATTTGTAGGACAAAGAGCCTTGGAAGATACGGTGTCTCCCTCCAGAGCAGGGGGAGATCTGTTTGCTGTCCATTCTAATGTGCCTCTCTTCAGGGCAAAGCTTAAGCAGACTTGCTTGCAAATGCTAGAGGTTTCCCAGACTTGGTGTCCCCTGGCTGTGACATACACTTACCGCCAGCGCAGAATCTGTCCCCGCAGGCCCTGAAGGATGGGGAACCAGCACTGCTCACGTTGCTTGCTGTGCCCTAACGCATTGCCATCCTTTGTCTTTGACCTAAAAGTCTTGGGTCTTCCGCCAGCGTCCCTAAAACTGTAGCAGGCTAATTTGTTAGTATGCAAGTAGGGTAAAACCTCAGACCCTTTGTAGGCTTTAACATCCCAACGGGCTTTAATTTTCATTTCCCTAATAACTAATGACTCTGAGCATCTTTTCATGTAGTTATTTGTCATGTGTATGGCTTTTGTGGGAAAGTCTTCAAATCTTTTGTCCACTTTTATTGAATTCTTTTCTTGTTTTTGAGATTTGAGAGTTAAAACTGTATTCTGAATATAATCATGTTACTTTTCAGATATACGATTTAAAACTATTTCCCCCCAGTTTGGGGGCTTGTCTTTTCATTCTCTTAACAATGTCACTCAAAGAACAGAGATTCTTAGAGGAGATCCAATTTATCGAGTTTTCTTTTATGAATTGTGCTTTTGCTATCATATCTAAGAAATCCATATAACCTAGCGTCAAAAAGATTTTTTCCCTGTTTTATTCCAGGAAATTTTTTATATAATGCAAGGTATAGACTGTAGTCCCCCACCCCCATATAGATGTCCAATTATTCCTACACCATTTGTTGAAATTACCATTCTTTCTCCATTATGTGCTTTGACATCATTGTCAGTAACCTGTTATCTACATATGTAGATAATGTTACCGGACTGTACATTTCCCCATTAATCTATATTTGTATTCTTTCTTCAATATCACACTATCTTGTTTACTATTGCT